GCTGATACGATACGGAGGAGCCAGCACTGATACGATATGTGATACAGTAACCAACCTCAACAAAGCAAACTGTCACTCCTCCAGATCTTTATCAATACCCAACCAATCGCGCTCACAAGACAAKTTTTTTAATCCTTACATTAAGGGCTCAAGGATACGGAAGTATCGGATCGATCGACCGAGTGGTTTTGGAGGAAAAGGGCTGTAACTACCAGTAGCGAATCGACGAAAAATCGCAACAAAGAGAAGCTGCAGTGTAACAAAAAAGAAACCATCTTCCCCTCGATAACATAGGAAACCAGTATGCAGAACGTCCTTAATACATCAAATTAGACTTGACCCGCAAGTATCGGATCGATCGACTAAGTATTTTGAAAGAAAAAGCAGTTTTTGTTGTATTTTGGACCATGAGCAACAGCAACACACACACCCCAGGGCCTACAAGAGCAATTGCTGTACTCCCATCCGCAGCAACAACGGAACTATCGATCCGGCCGGTTACTAAGGGATGTGTGGAAACGCGTGCTGAATCAGGAGCAGTGGCAGTGGAGTTGGGGTTGGCGATCGCAGAGTACCGTAGAACTTGAATTATATAATTTATTGTAAATGTAAAAAAGAGTAAAACACGTTCTTGTCGACAACAACTGTACAGTACTTCTACTATCTAACCGGAACCGCTCCTCCTCCGTCAAGGAGTTCGCTATTGTTTACGCAGGACCCACATAATTCGTCGCTGACGGAATTCGTCGCTGACGGTGCTGGAGTCTGCGCCGGCTTCGATGTCCTCCGTTCCATAGCCGGTATCACTTGCAGGAAGCATGCCCTGAGTCTCGTCCCCGCCTTCAGTAGATTCGGGGTCTCGGGTAAAGTTCATGCGGCCGACAAAGGTGCTGCACAAGGTCAATACGGAGAAGGTCGAACCAGTAGCAGGATATTGAATGACGGGAATTCCGGTGCCAGCTAGACCGAGTGCAACAAGGTCAAGGAAGATGCAGGTTTGAAACATCCGGACCACGGATTCTTCGGATACTCGGGGTTGGGGTTGGGTTGGGTTGTTTGGGGGGAAGCCGATCCTTTTGTGATGGTACTCGTGCCAACACCGCGCCATTGCCAAGAGTTGGAACATTGTTGAAACACCAATGAATTTGCGAAAGGGTTGAAAGTTTTGCAGCTTGGTCGGATCAGGATCCCAGTGGATGTATCCCTGCAGAAAGCAATAGACGGCGGTCAAGAAGCAGCAACCAACCCCGACCACCGAATAATGGAGGGCAATGCCGAGCCCGGCAAAGTTTTCGATTTTTCCACGTACATTCCGATTCAGGCCGATCAAGACGCAGGCGCTGTTGCCAAAGGTGTACGCTACGAGGCCCGTCGCGATGCTGATGTKGGCGAAGGATCCAACCGACGAAAACTCGTCGTTGGTGTTGTAACGGTGAATAGAGCACATGCAGCTCAACAGCTGGCAGAAACAGGCGCCAAGGGTGATCTGTAGGATTTTGTTTTTCTTTAGCTGTTTTTTGATGATGCCCTGCACGAGCAGAATATACGAGACGTTGAAAAAGTTAAAGGCAAAAAACCCAATGTGTGCGACCATATAGAGCATGTTCCTCTCGTCCATTCCGGGGACCGTTGCATCACCCAGCTTGAGGAATGAGGCTAGAGGAATGGTCGCCTTTGCTGCGTCGTTGACTTCGGGCAACGAACCGAGATCGTTGTTGTTTCCTGGCATTGTAAGTATTGCTTGGTGTACTGTATTGACTTAATTGACTTTCTTAGGGTTTTGCTTCTTTGGCCAAAAAAATTTATGAATGGAGCCCCACAGCGGAAAAGACAAGCCTCGAAATGATTGTTTCGATTGTTGAAAAAGTTTGTGTGTAATTGATTTTCGTGATTGATAATGGCGTCAGTACGGCACGAAATTACTACAAAAAACCTGAATTGTTTTACGTAGTATTTGTACTACTGTATGGATCTTGATTCTCGAGTTCGAGAAAGTGGTTCGGTTCGTTACACACGAAATTATAGAAATGCTAAACTGCTTATTTAACATTTTTATAATAATGGGAATACAAATTTCAACGGACAGACCCCGAGCATGCCAACTCAATGCCAGTCTTTTTGGGAATTTGGAATCTTAACTAGCTACGTCACACAAACCGGATCTATGGTATTGCGCGTTTCACGTGGTTGACACCATCAAAGTTTCAGGGTCAACCCTTAGTCTTTCGTGATTGGATAATAGTTTACTAGAGAATTCCCGCACAACTTCATTTATCCAGAACATGTTTCCGAAAACAAGCATAATTTTACTTCCAAAGCATGARAAAAYTCATCMTCTGYKTGGAACTTAGCTTTGTTCTTTATCATGCCCCCCCCTAAGCTAAAGGTATTCTGTCAAAACTGTTACGGCTCAAGAGATTGGAAGAACCAGTGTCCCCTATTTTACAGTGCCAAGCAAGACAAAAAATCCGGTGTTATCACGTCACCGAAGCTACTCACTCATCTTAATCTCAGCAAGGATTGCTTCGAATATTACGTGTGTGTCAGKGACGGGACCCATGACTTCAGTTCGTTGTTGTTCAAAACTTCTAAGGAAAAGATCAGCGWTAGCCAGCGGTTTTGTTTMACTAATACCCAGGACGGACCATCTAGTGGCATGCCGCAGAATCTCGACGACCAAGTTATGTACAACCCATCTGTGGACTCTGCAATGGAATCCGTTGATTCTGATCTGGACGATGATTTTTTCTACGAACCCGCTAATCAGGAGGAGTGCTCGGACTTGGTTCTCGTTGATGTAATAAAAACACCATTTGAATATCAATTGTTACCTCCCTCAACTAAGGTCAAAATTAAGTTAATGAAGATCATGAGAGACCACAATACTATACCCTTAGTCGCCGAGAGGGAGCTTTATGAATGG